AGATAAAATCTTTTGTGCGAACTGTAATTCCTTTGGACACCCGGCGTCATACCGAGGATGTCCCAAAATTAAAGAAATTAGTAACATTATCAAAAATAAAAACATTAACGGGACAACAAAAAACCTACCAAATACAAATAAGAACTATAGAACAGTAAGTGAGAATTTCACATATGCTGACGTATCCAAATTAAATCCAACAGCAGAATCAGAAAATAACAATTTTAAAAATAACAATTTTAAAATTAACAGCAAGCAAGATAACTACCAAAATTTTAGGGAATTTCAAAACAAAACAGATACTAACCTAGGTCAGAGGCCGGATGATACGGGGAATTTCAGTGACACATATAATAATACTATCAATCAGATACTTAATTTGGAAAAGGTAATAGCGCAACTCCCCGAAATAGTAAGTAAAATAGAGCGCATCACTATATTTTTGGAGGCAGAATTTCCGAACAAATTCTATATGAATAAAAATGGCAGGAACACATAATAGCGCAAAAGTTAAAAAATTAAAGATAATTTCGCTTAACATAAACTCACTTATCAGCAATTATAAAAGAGAAGAATTAAGAATCCTATTAGACGAACATAATCCAGAACTAGTACTCTTGTCTGAAACAAAATTAAACGATAGCCACCGAATCTTTTTCAAAAATTACAACTGTATATTTAATAATAGAAAAGGTCAAAATAGGGCGGGGGGAACAGCAATTTTGATACAAAAGGATATCAGGTTCAACAATGTCATTCTCAACGACCAAAACAAAACGATAGAAAACACAATAATTCAAGTCAACTTAAACAACAATAAAAAATTATATATTGTCGCAATATACGCAATAAGAGGATGGAATAAACATTTCATACCTGAATTAAAGAAACTATTTGAAGAACTCGAACTCAATGAACCTAACAACTACTTTATTTTAGCAGGTGATTTTAACGCAAGACATATAGCATGGAAAAATAAGACGAATAATGATAGAGGTACCGCATTGTTTAATTGGATCGAAGAGAATGACATTGAATATAAGATAAGACTCTATAACTCAAAATATCCATCATTCCCAAGCAAGGGAACTTACCTAGATCTGGTATTGGCAGACACCAGAATGAAAATAACCAATCTTATCCAAGGCGAATTGCGTTCTACTACATTCGATAGCGATCACGAAGCACTAGTAATTGAAATAAACTTAGATGATCACAAATACTTTTTAGAAGAAAAAATAAGCAAATACAATTATAATTTTGATAAAGCAAACTGGAATACATATCAGAAGGAATTGTGCAAATTCTGGGTAGAAAATGTACCATCTAATCGTAACCTAAGATTAACAGAAATTGACAAATACTTAGATACTCTATCGGAACAAATCACACAGGCAATAGATATAGCAGTCCCAAAGATAAAAGAAAGAAATTCGACAGATATTTACATAAATAAAGAAATCAGGAAACTTAGAAAAGAAAGCAAAGAAATACTTACAAAAATTCACAGATTAAAAAAAAACCCGCGATTCAATAGTTTTGACCTAGTCAAGCTGAAAGAAGAAAGTAAAAAAATTAAAATACAAAAAAGAATAGAATTCAATAAAGAGGTCAGTAGATACTGGGAAAATAGAATTAGGAATATCAGTCAAAAAAATTCAAGAAAAATGTTCCCCGAAATTAACAAAATTTTTAGGAAAAAAGAACCATTAAAACTACCTACACTTAAAATTAATAAAAACAATCAGGAATTACTAAACAAAGCAAAAATAGACAAATCAGTCCTCAAAACCGATAGCGCAGGGAACTTTGTAATATCAGAAGAAAAGCAAAAATTAAATCTGATAGCAACGCATTTTGCAGAATCAAATACAAAAAACGATAACTTAGGTAACTCTAGATTTAACGAATACGTTAAAGGAAAAGTTGACCAAATGAAGCTAGAGTTCTTATCGCAAACAGAGATGGAAACCCCGCTCTGCATTTTCAATGATAAAAACAGAGCCGATAACCCATCAGAGGAAAACATTGAGAATAAAATTTTTACAACACCTGAAGTAGTACACGATAAATTTAGAAAAGTAAATAATAAAAAATCAGCAGGTGATGACGGTATCCCGAACCTAGCGCTCAAGAATCTTCCTAAAAGAATAACATATCAATATGCAATATTATTCAACAATATGTTAAATCTAGGTTACTTCCCAAATAAATGGAAAAAAGCGAAAGTAATTCCGATACCAAAAAAAGGTAAAGACCACACAAACCCAACTAATTACAGACCAATCAGTTTGTTATCAAACATAGGTAAA